CCTAATCTTAATTGATCTCAATGAGCTCCACAAAGGCCTGAACTATGGTAGAGCATTTCCCCAAATGTCTGACATTATGGTGCTCCCCATTTGCAGACTCGTGGATGGAATATCGCATGGATGCTGGGTTTGCCCAGGTGACTTGCATTGGCCAATAGTACAATGTCGATGAGTATCTGACGGCAGCATAGGCTTGAACACTTGTGCCTCAGGACTAGTTATGTTCTTGCTGCTCTTGGAATGCTGTCACCACCATCATGATGTCAACAAGTCTAGGCTAGCCTACTGAAGGAGGGGAGACTTTCCGGACAGAGATAAGCCTTCCCTGCTGAGGGACTTTCTGGACTGCACAGTTGATAATCAATCGTAGAAATGAAGCCATCCCAGATCATGAAGCTCCAGTTGAGTTAACCTAGATCAGTTGGATTTGTTGTCTTTAAGCCAGTAAGTTTTATGGTGATTTGTTATGTAGCAAAAGCTAACTGATTCATGGAGGATGCCCTTATTTTGAATCCACTGTGGCTTCGATATTCCATATGTAGGTGCTTGAGAGCTATTTGAATGTCAGATGCCTGAGCTGTCAGATGTCAGAGATGAAATGTCAGATGCATGCTAGTGATGTTAGAGTTTTGTTCAGGGGGGTTCTCACTGGTTACCTCTTCAGGAAGTAAGTTACATTGTGCTGCCACTGCAGCTATGTAAGTTTCAACGACCACTGTGGCCTGGGGGAAGCCAAATCCTCGAAAGGCAGTGTTGGATGGTAAATTCGTTTTGCAAGGTCTACCCCGGCACCGGAAATTAGGGATGTAGTACGCATTTTCAGATTTCAGCACAATGAATTCCACCACCTGAACGGAAACAAAACAAAACCATTCGTCAAACATTCAAGGACATGTATTTGAAATTGATCTCTATCCTAAACTCTTCACAGAATTCATTTAATTTGTAAGACAAATGTTCACGCAAATCAAGCAGTAATCTAGGGGGAAGAAACATTTCATATTTACCATCTCGGACTCATCAGGAGTGCATCCGCCGTTGACGTAATATTCAACATCCGCAGCTTTGATCACACCATTGTTCATGAATCCAATCTACCAATGATAATGGTATGACAGTGTTTCTCAGTGGTCCTCCTTCACAAGCAAACCATGCAGGACACAAACATATCTGATCACAGTAACCAATCTACCCAGCCTGTGATTTGACGTTACATCAAAGACCAAAGGGACAGTAAGGGCGACGACCAAGCCGAACATGGTCCTACCGGAAATTTCCGACCCATTCTAGGCAGTGCTCAAGCATGCCTTTCAAATGCTAAGGGATCTAGAAATGATCTTTATAGTGGTTGCTTAGTAGTGGGCAATAGCTTAGTGAGTTTGCTGGAAGGTTGGGTCTCACCTACTTTGTATTTCCCAAGGAGTGGATGGCGGCCTGCAGTTATCAGCATGTCATCCCCACGCTCTAGAACAAACCGGATCGGACGGGAAGTCCTGCAAGATATACCTGTTCATGTGCCGGCAGCTTTGTAAAATTGTGGCAACTTAGAGATTGGGGATTTGACAGCAGTAACATGCCTTCAGTTACATTCTGGAAATTGAGGGGGAGGGGCATTTCAAAACTCTTTCATTATTTTTCTGGTTTGGACACACCTGAGTTTTATATGTTAAAGTCATATCATCTGGTTATAGAGTACTTCCCTTTTTATATTACAGGAAGATATTCTCATTTTGTAATTATATGAATAATACTTAAGACAAAAACCCTCCCCTGCTAGAGAGTCAGTTCTGCGTCACAGTAAGTAACCTCATGGGACAGAGGAGAACTAAACTGCCCCTTGGAGTTTCAAGATTAAACTCTACGGAAGCAGATAACCCCTTTCTCTCCAGGAGCAGCTGGTGGACTTGAACTACCTACCTTGTGGTCGGTGGCCCAAAGCTTAATCCATCAAGTTATCAGGACTTCTGATTTATATGAATACAAAAAACAAGTTCATTGCCATCAAGACGATTCTGACTTCTAGTGACCCTACAGGGCAGGGAAGACCTGCCTCTGTGTGGTTAGTGAGGCTTAACTCTTCATGGGAGTAGAAAGCCTCATCTTTCTCCCAAGGAGTGGCTGGTGGTTTCAAGCTGCTGAGTTTTCAGTTAGCAACCCAGCTCATAACTGACTTCACCACTATAAATACAAACAAGCACCATAAATACAAATAAGGAGCTCTAGTAGTGCAATGGTTAAAGCACCCAGTGACGGGCCCAAAGGTTGGTGATTCAAACCCAACAGCTACTCTGGAGGCACTCTGCTTGTGTAAACACCTACAGCTTGGGAGCCTATGCGGCAGTTCTCCTCCGTCCTGTTGACAGACTCACTAGAGTCAGGCTTGACTCTATGGTAATGGGTCTTAGGGTATATGACTATAAATTTCACTTTGTGATCGTAAAAAGGCCCTTAAAATTTGCTAAAGGGGTTGTTGAAGCTGAAATGTTGGAGAACCTAATCTCAGTCTAACTCAGTTCTCCTTGCTTCCAGCTTCTCTTTCATAACATTTCTATCCTACAGGCCCCTGGATCTTGGTGGCATGTTCCCCATGCCTGAGAAGTTGCTGTGTACAAGGCAGGCTTTTCGATTATTGGAAAGC